TGCAGCAGATTAAAAAAAAAGCTTCTGGATTTTTTTCACCTATTTTAATTTTAGTCATTTGTCATTTTTATTTATTTGCTCTCTAATTTCTTACAATGACATAAATTCCACTTACAGTACTGGAGTTTATCCCAGATGTGCAAATACAGTGTCTCCTTCCCCCTCTGCAGGGCATTCTGTGCTGATAAATGGCAGGCTTTTCTTATTATTTAATCAGTAAGAGGGTGAAAGTGAAGTAATCTGTCCTCACTTTATTTTAGGCCCTGCAAGACACAGTGAAACCTTATTGGTCCTCAAGAGGAGCTGGGGAGCGGTTAGGAACAAACCCGAAGATGGTCTTTCAATTGTGTCTGCCTCTAGTCTGCTCCTTGTGTTGAAGAACATGCCAGAACAGGACAACAGGCAAAACTGTCAAGGAGAAATATGCATAAGCAATTTCAAGAGGAAGCTATAACTGATTTTGTACTTGCTAAAATTTGATTAATGTATTTTATTTAAAAGGAAAAATCCTTCTTTGATATGCAGTTGTTATGACATTACCACCTTATAAATCATTGCAGATATTACACAGCTGCTTCCTGATGGGGTGATGATGCCATTTTGTTGTATTTTATGATAAAACAACTGTTAACTTTCTGTCATTGTAATAAAATGAGGTTTTAAAAGATGAGTGTGAGTGATTAGTGTGTATCTAAGTTGGTGGTTTCTGTGTGTGTGTATGTGTGTGTGTGTGTGTGTGTGTGCGTGTGGTAGAGCCTGACAGCTAATCTGCTCTCCCTTCATTTCACCACCTATGGCAAAATTATGAATGAACCTTCAATAACAGCTACATTTGTTTCTGCACATGAACATTTTAAGAAACAGCCAACATCTGTCTGCAGTACATGTCAAACAGTAGAAGAACTATGTGGTCTAATAGTGAAAGAACATGTTGTTGTTTTTTTTGCAGGATGATGTAAAATATGGGTTTTGCCATTGAAGAAAGGAAAAAAATTGACATCCTTAACTGATCAAGAGTGAGTATAAAGTCAAGAAAGCAGAACAATTGCACATTTTTCTTGTTGGGGAAAATGTAGGGGAATCTGTCAGAGACTGGCAAAACCCCTGTTCTGTGAAAGAGAAATGACTACTGACGACAGTGTCACCACCAGACAGCGTTCTTACACACAAGCTTTCACCAAACCACCACACCCTCTGATAGGAAACCATCAGGTAACAGGTATTCTGGGTTTACCTGTCTGAAGTACAAGGAGCAAAATGTACACATCAGACAGATCGCCTCCTTTTTATTTCTTCACTATAACACTTACCTTAATAAATTGTGATATTTGGAGTTTGGGGGGAAAAAAGAGTTGTTTACCTGAGCCTTGTTGAAAAGAGTAAAATCACCATCTGAAACAAAACACTGTTACCATACAGCAGTAATTACATTACTGAACCAGGGATGTGATCGCTAGGAAGCATGTGTAAATGTTTCCTTTTGCAATGGGCCTGTAAGAGGAACTGTCAGTCTGGTGATAATTATAACCATTAGGGATCATGAGAGACTGAGCCAATTAATATTTAAGGACCATGCCTATGAAATGATCTGCTCAAATAAATAGGAACAAATAGGTTCAACTAGTGACCCTACTCAAACTGACCCTGCTGTGCACCCTCCTTCACAGTTACGGCTGCATTTTTATTTCTACGTAGCAAGGCAAGAGTTGAAATTTGACATTTGCAGGGGAACTTAAGGTAAAACCAGGTGAACTGAAATACTGAGGCCAAATACAACTCAAAACCTCTTTGACCTTCCAAATGTGTGGAAGCTTTCTAAACTGTTAGAGTTGGAGAGTACACGAGTAATTACAGAATAACCAAATGATTTTGGTCGGAAGAGTTCGACGCCACACTGGCTAAGTGGATAAACCCCCTGTTTACCCCATGTGTGTTTAGTTTCCTCAAGATCAGTTGTAAGTGACTGCATGCAGTTGTTTCTCTTTGCTTTCTATCTTTACTACCCTTTGAATAACATATAAGAAGCATTGTTCTTTATGTGTCAGTTTGTTTCCACAGTGAATTTTAGTGCCACAAAAATGTTTGCTTCCATACTTAAATTAACTTCGGGAACACTGTTTTTGAGTCGAATAAATTTCACATCTTGAGTGACATCTTTTAACAGGCATGTGCCTTAGAATGCATGAATAATATGTAATGATGGACTATAACTCTATATATTTTAAGAATGTCATTCGCTGGTGCTTAAAATGCCACTCTAAGATCGCCAGCTTATCTTTGCTCTCAAAGCACACTCTGTGGAGTGTTGTGTGTGTGGTCTGCAGCTGCAGGAACCATTTTAACATTCCTCTTTTGGTGCAGCTTGTGGACTACTCTTTTAGCATTTTCTCTGGGTTACCAGTGTTCTCTGTCTAACTCAGAACCACTGAAACACTTTCCCAGCTCACCCCTTTCTAAGTCTTTGCACCCATTCTTTCCCTCTTTTTAAGTCTGCCCCCCACCCACCTCCAGCTACTCTTTCC